TGCAAAAACTAAACTTAACAACGGGAAGCACAGAAATAGCACACATAGAACAGATCTACCGCTTCTTAGACTTGCTTTCAATGGGAATGACAGATCTATAACTCACATTTCTATGGGAATTTGGTCTGGTCGGCCAAAAAGTTACATTTTGCAGCTTTAATGTTCCCAATACTCACATTCAGATAACAAATACAGTCCCCTCGCATGTAATGAAGTGTGCCAAAAAGCATGGAATGACCAACTGAAACTGACAAGAGCAGCCTTTGACCATGTCGTAGGCACATGTATGCAGCCGGTTGAGCTGAGGGCCTGTTGGGCAGAGCCACAGTGAGCTAATCAGTACCTCCTGGAGGACCTACTGTACCCACTGGGCTGGGGCCCATGCCAGGTCTGTCCTGCCCAGCATGCCAGCTAATGAGATGCATGAAATGATATGATTAACCATCTGCATCCTTCAGCTGGGAGCCCGGGAACAGTCTGGGTAAAGCACTCAATTCTTCCAAAGATGCTGTACTCATGCTCCAGAATACATGGAATGTAGAATGCTTACTCATCTTTTTGTCAAGCAAAACGTTTTGTGGAAGGTAATAAGCAGCGCACAGACCACCTCGCACTCTCAACTACAGTTTCCTTGTAGGCCTATTTGGTGGGCAAACCAGGATAACAACCTCTCCCTCAACGTGTGGTGCCAGGATAACAACCTCTACCTCAATGTGATCAAGACATCTCCAGGAGATGATTGTGGACTACAGAAAAAAAAAAGAGGACTGAGCACGCCCCCATTCTCATCGACAGGGCTGTAGTGGAACAGATGAGAGCTTCAAGTACCTTGGTGTCCACATCACCAACAAACTATCATGGTCCAAACACACCAAGACAGTCGTGAAGAGGGCACGACAAAGCCTATTCCCCCTCAGGAGACTGAAAAGATTTGGCATGGGTCCTCAGATCCTCAAAAAGTTATACAGCTGCACCATCGAGAGCATCCTGACTGGTTGCATCACCACCTGGTATGGCAACTGCTCTGCCTCTGACCGCAAGGCACTACAGAGGGTAGTGCGTACGGCCCAGTACATCACTGCGGCCAAGCTTCCTGCCATCCAGGACCTCTATACCAGGCGGTGTCAGAGGAAGGCCCTAAAAATTGTCAAAGACTCCAGCCACCCTAGTCATAGACTGTTCTCTCTGCTACCGCACGGCAAGCGGTACCGGAGCGCCAAGTCTAGGTCCAAAAGGCTTCTTAACAGCTTCTACACCCAAGCCATAAGACTACTGAACAGCTAATCATGGATACCCAGACTATTTGCATTGAACGTAAACATATTTATTTCATACTTAAATAAATGTTTTTGCCCCATCATTTTTGGGTTTTTTTCATTGATAAATAAATGTTTTATAGTGAATGGTTGGTGTTAATGGATGGTGTAAAAGTAAATAATACAAAAATACTGTACTTTCCTTAAAACGAAAATACATTGTAGAAACTAGATGTAGGCCTAGATATAGTATAGGCTGGTTTTAGCCTTCAGCCTTTATATAACCATATCAACAAATGTATATACAATATTCTGCCCATATGAAGGAACCTATTATGTTTGTAGCCATACGTGATTTAATGAAAAGCAGTAAACATACCTACCCGTATGAACGAATGTAGGGCTATAGGCTATACAATATTAATAGCCATACATGATTTAATGAAAAGCAGTAAACATACACATTGTTTTACATTCTTTAGTAACAGACTCATAAACACAATCATGCAATAGGCTACAGCTCGCTTCACAGCTTCCCTGGGGAATTCAACGTATTGTAGCCTCACGTGGACAAAATAGCAGCGGAGGAAGGCGTTCGCTTCTGCTGCAGTGTTCATGGTCAATGTTAACTGTAAAATATAACGCGTTGCAGCGGTGGTTCGATGTAGAATACATGGAACAACATCAAGCTGTGAACCACTTCCACCACTTCTTCCACTACTGGGAGCATCAAACCGTGGGAATTCATTCTCTCTGGTTCTATGGCGAGTAGGGCATTGGCCCTATCCTTACTCACTTTGTGCAGTCATCCAAGGCAACGTTATCAAATAATGCCCCTACGTCAGAGTGTTTTCTTTAAGGCAACAACGCCAGTATCCCATGGTTTGTAAAGGGAAATTCTCAGGTCCACATTTTAGTACTCTGACCACAACATCACAATCAGCAGCCTTGCTTTTGTATACATATTGAGGTAATAACCTACTACAAGGAGCTGAACGACAACATGTTATTTACCTGTGAATCTACCCACTCAATGGGTGCACATACATTGCTGTATGTGTTTGGGTACAGCAGGTACTTTACAGGCACAGTGCACATGAATTCAGCTGGGAGCTGGATGAATAAGGTGGCAGTAAGGCTAAAGACAGCCTTGCTGTTTCAGTGTCTCTCCAGAGAATATACATTTTATTTTACCTGGCTAGGTGTTCATTGTGTTGTTTTGGTTAATACCTTTCATGTGACTTCCAAGCAATACTAAAGCCATACATACTTATTTCGAATTCAGATGGACTTCAAGCATAGTGCTATTTTTACCATGATACCTCTGCATCTCTGCATCCTGCTGAGGCATGGACTGGCTTAATACACAGACCCCTCTACACAACATGGAGGAGGTACAGTTGAAGTCGGAAGTTTACATACACCTTAGCCAAATACATTTAAACTCAGTTTTTCACAATTCTTGACATTTAATCCTAGTAAATATTCCCTGTCTTAGGTCAGTTAGGATCACCACTTTATTTTAAGAATGTGAAATGTCAGAATAATAGTAGAGAGAATGATTTATTTCAGTTTTTATTTCATCACATTCCCAGTGGGTCAGAAGTTTACATACACTCAATTAGTATTTGGTAGCATTGCCTTTAAATTGTTTAACTTGGGTCAAACGTTTCGGGTAGCCTTCCACAAGCTTCCCACAATAAGTTGGGTGACTTTTGTCCCATTCCTCCTGACAAAGCTGGTGTAACTGAGTCAGGTTTGTAGGCCTCCTTGCTTGCACACGCTTTTTCAGTTCTACCCACAAATGTTCTATAGGATTGAGGTCAGGGCTTTGTGATGGCCACTCCAATACCTTGACTTTGTTGTCCTTAAGCCATTTTGCCACAACTTTGGAAGGATGCTTGGGGTCATTGTCCATTTGGAAGAACCATTTGCGACCAAGCTTTAAATTCCTGACTGATGTCTTAAGATGTTGCTTCAATATATCCACATCATTGTCCTTCCTCATGATGCCATCTATTTTGTGAAGTGCACCAGTCCCTCCTGCAGCAAAGCACCCGCACAGCATGATGCTGCCACCCCCGTGCTTCATGGTTGAGATGGTGTTCTTCGGCTTGCAATCAACCCCCTTTTTCTTCCAAACATAACGATGGTCATTCTGGCCAAACAGTTCTATTTTATGTTTCATCAGACCAGAGGACATTTCTCCAAAAAGTACGATCTTTGTCACCATGTGCAGTTGGTCCTTTGCTGTTGTTCTGGGATTGATTTGCACTTTTTGCACCAGAGTACGTTCATCTCTAGGAGACAGAACGTGTCTCCTTCCTGAGTGGTATGACGGCTGCGTGGTCCCATGGTGTTTATACTTGCATACTATTGTTTGTACAGATGAACGTGGTACCTTCAGGCGTTTGGAAATTGCTCCAAAGGATGAACCAGACTTGTGGAGGTCTACCATTTTTTCCCTGAGGTCTTGGCTGATTTCTTTTGATTTTGAAATACATCCACAGGTACACCTCCAATTGACTCAAATTATGTCAATTAGCCTATCAGAAGCTTCTAAAGCCATGACATCATTTTCTGGAATTTTCCAAGCTGTTTAAAGGCACCGTCAACTTAGTGTATGTAAACTTCTGACCCACTGGAATTGTGATACAGTGAATTATAAGTGAAATAATCTGTCTGTAAACAATTGTTGGAAAAATTACTTGTATCATGCACAAAGTAGATGTCCTAACCGACTTGTCAAAACTATAGTTTGTTAACAAGAAAAACTAGTTTTAATGACTCCAACCTAAGTGTATGTAAACTTTCAACTTCAACTGTAGCTATGGTGACCTCTGTCAAAACAGTACTAGTTCATCCCACTTTCTCAAATTTGTACAATAAAGTATACAAAAGGTGTGAAACATGACAGTCATAATGCAGCCATTACGAAAACAGAGTGGTAACCATGTGGTAACATCCCACTGTGCAAAAACTGGTTGAATCAACATTGCTTCCATGTAATTTCAACAAAAAAATGTAATGTGATGATGTTGAATCAATGTGAGAAACGGATTGGATTTGCAAAAAGTCTTCAACGTAAGGGAATTTCTTCCTTTTTTCAACCAACTGTTAACCTAAATCCAATGAAATGGTGAAATGTTTTGGAGATTTCACATTCAATCCACGTTAGTTGAAAACTCAACCAAATGTAAATCAAAACTAGACGTTGAATTGACGTCTGTGTCCGGTGGGATGAGCTCACTGAGCTCACTGACACCACTGGACCATGAAAAATTCCTTCAATTAAGTGGGACTTTTCTCATAATTAACTAGATGCAAATAGGCCCATTGCAAACATATCACATATTAGGCAAATATCGAGCAACATATACAGTGGGGAAAAAAAGTATTTAGTCAGCCACCAATTGTGCAAGTTCTCCCACTTAAAAAGATGAGAGAGGCCTGTAATTTTCATCATAGGTACACGTCAACTATGTACTAGGTACAATGTGATTTTCTGGATTTTTTTTTCTCATTTTGTCTGTCATAGTTGACGTGTACCTATGATGAAAGTTACAGGCCTCTCTCATCTTTTTAAGTGGGAGAACTTGCACAATTGGTGGCTGACTAAATACTTTTTTCCCCCACTGTATCTGAAAGCTCAAGTGTGAAATTGTTAGATAAAAACCTGAATCTTTGTATGTACTGTAGAGTCAGATGTAGTGAAAACAACAGTGAGATGTAGTGGTACTGACCCGCATTGCCTTGAGTGGGGGGCCTCTGCTGGCCCCCGCTGGAGCCCACGTTTCTGTGTAAGGAGGCCTGAGGGGGGGGGAGCATCCCGCTGTCACTCAGAGAGGCTGCGGCCTGGGCCAGGGCCTGGCTGCTCATGGATCCTCCTGGGTGGTAGGACATGGTGTTCTGGTTGGAGACCGGAACTGCCACATGCATGGGGAAGTTCTGCTGGGGCAGCGCTGTGGGCTACAGGAGGGAAACACAGAGACATGGGGAGAATCAAAGACTTGGCGCTGGGCTAAGGGTCACATGGGGAAGGAGATGGCAGAGATGGCATCTCTGATGGTGCCACATCAATCACATTGGTATGGTTAACAGAGCAGTCCTATTCACTGATGGTAAACAAACAGCTCTATGCTGCATCTGGCAACCTGTTCATGTTCCAAATCCAGGTTGATTGGATGCTGGCATAAGCCTGTATAATATATAAATAGTAATGCATAAAATGTACAAATGACCACTATATTTCTGTAAATGAAGAAAACAATAATTTTGCTATTTAAAAACATCACACATCACTAAAAACAAAACATGCACATTAGCAAGTGTCTTGTACCAGGTGTTCAGACTTGCATTGTAATAGTCAGCACTGCAGATCATCAATGTTTCTTGTTTTTATCAGGATAGTGTAATTGTGTAATTTCCCAAAATATAAATCAATTTTGGATCAAAACTCCATGTCTGTGCAGTGCAGTGCTGACAATCCAAAGAGTGTTTGAGAGTAACTGGTGACAGTGAGACCACTCCATTCACAGCATAGTCCAGTGAGACAGTCAGTTAGTGATATTATTAGTGTGTTAATTGCAAACAATGGTGCTCTCCATGTCAGAATTAGAGAGAAAACAACAGTTGAAGCACTATACTTTATGCAGGATTCTATGATTGCCACCCGCAATAAGATCACTATTGTCTTAAGGTAAACCTCTGTGTAATTCCAGGGTACTTTGGTCACCTCCAGTCTGATAGCAGCTCGATGAAAGAGTGGAAAATACGCAGTGATAGTCCACTGATGTTGTGCTTTGGTGAATACTGATTGAATTGCCCACGTGAATGGAGGACACACCAAGTTGAGGCACCAGGAGAGATCATACAATGAGCAAAGGGGGGAGGGGGAGATAAAATAAATGATCCTCTCCCTCGCCAAATGATCCAGGCACTGTTGGACTAAAAGAGATTTAATTTCTTGATCTGCTTGGGGGTGAAAATTGGGTTTTGGGAAAATCACCAAAGCTACAGAACCAGTCAATATTTAAGCCAGTGGGGATACATGGAGGATCTTCCTTTTTTTTTTAGGGGGAAATCTTCTCTTCCGGAAAATAACAAAAATGCACTTTCCTTTTCCTATAGTTTTCAATGTGATCTTCCCAATAGAGCTTTAAAAAGGTTCAACCTGTCATAACAATGTGATCTTATCAGGGTGTGCCAAAATATAAGTTGCAGTACAAATAAACAAATACACTTCCAATGAACAGAAAAAAGGTTATGCTTGAATAGTCCATGTTTGCTTATAGTAGTTGACAGAGGTTGCAGGGTGGGATAATTTAAAAAAGAAGAAAAAGTAAAACCAAAAGAAGGTCAAAATCCTTTGTGCAACAAAGCCAAGCAGCAAAATCCTTGCATTTACTTACGATTTTATGATTTCTCATCATATTATCAAACTCCTCATTAATTTTTTTATACTTTTCTTCTGTGTGAGGGGTGAGGACATATGAGGCATCGGGGTCCGGGCTATCACAGCCTCTGTGTTCTTTCTTGTTTAGCGCCTGTAGTGAACATCAACATAAAAACAGGAATCAACACAAAATGGCAGGAGAGGGAGAAAGTACTTACACCACAGCGCTTGTACATTAAATCACTCTCTTCGCTTAGTTTGCCGAAACGGTCGTCCATGAGGGGGCTGTGCCCAAAACAGTCATCTGGATCAGGACTGGCACACAGGTCATTATGGCCTTTGTTTCTTAATTTCTGAAATAAAATTGCACAATTCACACATACAATATATACTGCAGGATACTCAGTCTACTACCACATGACTCTCTGTCTAGGTAGGTTATAATATACCTCTACAAACCTGTTCCCATAACAAAACATGAACAATTATATTAACATAAATAAAAGGCATCATTCAAGTCAAGACACTAATTAATTGAATACATATGACAGATATTAAATGACTTGTAATACATAAATTATAATAAACCTGCCTTCACATGTACATTTAAATTCATTCGTTATTTTTTGGCCTGCCAGTGTGCTGGTATGAGCTGGGAACGGAATGAATACTGTCTTCCTATGCAATGGTTAACAATGATAGGGAAATTGAAACGTCAACCTTATCCTTTCATCCTTTAGAGACCATCACAGGAGAAACAAAATATTTCTCTGCAGTCCCTCTCTTTCTCCTCTCAACGTCTACCCCCCCCCCCCCCCCCCCCCCCCCCCCCTCTCTCTATCTTCCCCCTCTCTTGCTGCATGTGTGTGTTTTGTTGCATATTTCATTATCTTTCAGTTATCATAAGCCACCCAGCTGGAAGACACCCCGGCATAAGAGGATCCCAAAGAGCAGCAGTTTAAAACATTGCAGACTTTAATTCAGCATGGTTGCCACTCACGGAATCTTATCAATGTTAAGTAATGTAAGAAATAAAATGGATTATTATATGTGGTCAAAGACACTTATTAGAGCATGAAATGGAGTGATTATTGTAAGCGCAAAGAGCACACAGTGTGGTGTGTTGTGATATAGACATCCAATGAGCTTTATTTTACCTCTTATAAGGACTGCACACTATCAAATTAACGAAATAAGAACAGTGAAACACTTTTTGTGTTGTGTTTGTTATAACTTTCTATCAGAGGAGCAGTTCTCTCCGCTTCGTTAAAACTATGAATGATATGATGTTAACGAGAACCCATGATAGCATGTGACAGCATGTGATATCAAGCCAGTCAGAGAACATCAAGTTTGATTTATATGTGTGCTGTTCAGGTTCCCCTAACAGGCTGGTGCAGGCCCAGAGCGGTGACCTACCCTGTCTCTGGGCTGCCTCTGAGCCGGATGTCTACAGCAGCCACTGACTCCTCTGGATGGAGGGATCACAGTGTGAGGGAGAGGAGTAAGACTCAAAGGCACTAATGAGCCCTTTGTCTCTGCCTCCATCTCCATTATCCTGGAGGTGCAGGAGGTAACGCTGGTGTGTGTGTGGGTGTTCATGTGCGTTGCAGCAGCAGCTGGCGTCTGCTGACAGCTCTCTGACAGTACAGTGGTGTTTGGGCTGATCTCTATCTAACAACGTGTCTTACCCAGCCCTGCTTACAGTAACTGGATCGTTCCACGAAAAGAGTGCCTTTTGCGTCCCTTTGATATTTTAAGTATTGTGCACCAATATTGAATATAGAATTTTCAAATCCTGTTATATTAAATGAAGTGCCCTTTAATACAGACCACATGGAGAATTCAATAAATTAGATTTTTTATATGAATAAAGGCATTTAAGATGAAGTCGTCAACCCTGTATGGCAAATAAGTCTGGCTGCATAACCGATTGGCAAAAGTCATATGACTAAACTGAATAAAAATAAGAAGAAACTATACTATGAAACAAAGATAAATGGTATAAAGAATGATAGTAAAAAAGCTTTGGAGCACCTTAAATGACATTTTGGGCAAAAAGGCAAACTCAGCTCCATCATTCATTGAATCACATGGCTCATTCACCAAAAATCCCACTGATATTGCCAACTACTTTAATGATTTTTTTTCATTTCAAGAATAGCAAACTTAGGTATGACATGCCAGCAACAAACGCCAACACTTCAAATCCAAGTATAACTGACCAAATTATGAAAGACAAGCATTGTAATTTTGAATTCCGTAAAATGAGTGTAGAAGAGGTGACTAAATTATTGTTGTCTATCAACAATGACACACCACCGGGGTCTGACAACTTGGATGGAAAATTACTGAAGATAATAGCGGACGATATTGCCACATCTTCAATCTAAGCCTACTAGAAAGTGTGTGCCCTCAGGCCTGGAGGGAAGCAAAAGTCTTTCCGCTACCCAAGAATAGTAAAGCCCCCTTTACTGGCTCAAATAGTCGACCGATCAGCCTGTTAACAAAGAGCTATAGTTAGTTTCAGAATGGGTGGCAAACAATAAGTTAGTCCTAAATATTTCAAAAACTAAAAGCATTGAATTTGGGACAAATCATTCACTAAACCCTAAACCTCAACTAAATCTTGTAATGAATAATGTGGAAATTTAGCAAGTTGAGGTGACTAAACTGATTGGAGTAACCCTGGATTGTAAACTGTCATGGTCAAAACATGTTGATACAACAATAGCTAAGATGGGGAGAAGTCTGTCCATAATAAAGGGCTGCTCTGCCTTCTCAACAACACTATCAACAAGGCAGGTCCTAAAGGCCTTAGTTTTGTCACACCTGGACTACTGTTCAGTCGTGTGGTCAGGTGGCACAAAGAAGGACTTACAATTGGCTCAGAACAGGGCAGCACAGCTGGCCCTTAAATGTACACGGAGCACTAACATTAATAATATGCATGTCAATCTCTCATGGCTCAAAGTGGAGGAGAGACTGACTTCATCACTACTTGTTTTTGTAAGAGGTGTTGACAAGCTGAATGCACTGAGCTGTCTGTTTAAACTACTAGCACACAGCTTGGACACCCATGCATACCCCACAAGACATGCCACCAGAGGTCTCTTCACAATCCCCAAGTCCAGAACAGACTATGGGAGGTGCACAGTACTACATAGAGCCTTGACTACATGGAACTCTATTCCACATCAGGTAAATGATGCAAGCAGTAGAATCAGATTTAAAAAACAGATAAAAATACACCTTATGGAACAGCGGGGACTGTGAAGAGGCACACACACAGGTACAGACACACGCATAAGCACACACACGCTAGCACACGCACTCTATACACACGTAATATTGTTGTATGGTGGTATTATACATTTTGTATTGTAGATATTTAGTGGTGTTATATAATGTATATTTTTTATGTGCAATGTAAGTGCCTTAATGTGTTTGGACCCCAGGAAGAGTAGCTGCTGCCTTAATAAATACAAATACAAACTATTCACTCTACTCTAGCTTAGACACATGATGAAACAGTGTATGAGCTAAAAACTCTGAAAAGCACCTACATCTCATCAGTCATATCTGTCTGACATGTGTACATGTGCATTTAGATCCACTAGTGTTTGGTGTGGTACAGAGCCGGGGCATTCTTCTCATTCGAAGAAAACGCCTTCCTGGTTCATTTCCTGTTTACTGAGGCTGCTCTTCAGTTAGGCTCCTGTTAAGGCTATGTTTACCAGGGAAACGATGCACTTTCTCCGCCAGACTGCCACAGATCTGATCAGGACCTGCAAATTAAAGTCCAAACCTGCTCATTATGGGAATAGCTGGGTTGGGCTGGCCGGCCATGGCTGTGTGAGATGGGCAGGGCTGCAGGCAGCACTTCCACAACAAGCCATCCAGCCGCACCCTCTGCCCCTGGCCCCGTGCCCTGCTAGCCACTCGGGGAGAGGCCAGAGTGGAAACATCCAGTGCCAGGGACACTCAGCATTCAGAACAAACCATGGAACATATTGCACTGAGACTAAACAACACAAAGCCCAACAACGAGTGCTCATATCTAGGTCATTGATTTTATAAATCAATATCGATCTCTGTGATCTGAGATTAACTGAAATGAAACATTATGACATTATGTACTGTATGCATGCCTAAGAAAGAGTGAAGAGTGACAGATTTCCTCTCCAAGGTACTCCTAGCTGAGCATGTTAAGGAGTGAAGGTCTGGGACAGCACGGCCATAATTCCTCCTTAAATGACTTGGCATGTTTCGGGTGTCCCACAGACGCTGCCCGCTGCTCCCAGTAAATTGATCACTAAATCAGCACATGGCCAAACAGGTGTCCTTCTCCCAAACACCTGTCAAGCCCTGGCTCCCCTCGCCCAGCCAATCACACACAGCCTCACACTGACATGGCCTTAGAAGGGGCCACATGGAACCCTGAAGGCCATCAGACATCACTCAAGCCAAGGTTTTTACTCTATACTATTGGTTCAGTAATACATACACACATTTACACAAAAATCACTCTTGTGAGATAAACAAAACAAAACCAACCAATGTTGAATTATGGTAAACAAAATTCAAAATTAAAGTTGTGTTCCTTTCTATTCCTATTACTTCTATAGTTCAGAAATGCACTTTCAAAGGTCATGTCATACTGTGACATTTTCTGTATTTTGAAAGTTCTATATCTTGAAAACTTGATTGCTGACATGCAAAACATTTTGGGACTGTTTCAACAGTGGACTAATGAAACAAATACCAAAAGTCCTTTAAGAAAGCAAAGCTGGAGGGGTGTGAATACAGTAGAATTTATAGGGCTTTTCAACAACAACATTTATAATGGAGGGTGGGTGGTGGGTCTATCTGTATACGGGAGCTGCAGACGAGAGTAGTGACGAATGAACTTGTGTAATCTGTTCACAAGGCCCATGGAGGCTCATAAAGGACAGTGGGAACCAGGCCAGCAGCTATTTTCTCACAGCCGTCCAGACCTGGATTGCTAGAAATGTGGCTCTATACACCAAAAGTTTGAATCTGGGTGTCTGATGTCAAACCAGCGGGGCCTCATAGTGAGTGTGTGAATGTAATGTTAAGAGAACAGGCTTTTTTCTGCTGTTCAGAAAGTGAGAGAGGCCTTGAAATGTGTCTGTTCACTCATAGTACTGTATGCCCAACCCACATACTGATGATAACATCTACAGTATCACTCATCTCCTCCAGAGCACCTGTTGTTCATTTAGCTGAAATTTACAAACAGGCACAGGAGTATGAGCTATTGAAGCAGTGTGTCAATTGTACTTTATATAGAAAATAATTATGTTTTCATATTATGTTAGAATGGAGCTATCAATTCTATCTGTGTCATTTTATTTTTTGTAAATTTCACCAACCATAGATTAAATATATTCAGATTCAGAGATTCAGAGTGTTTAATAGTCACATGTACAGGGTTGCAGGTGTGATTGCTGGGTAT